TTTTGTATATACTTTTTATTTGTTTTTAGCTTTTTTGAATATCTTTATTGTATAGGTTTATTTTTCATTTACTTAAGTTCTAGTATTTCTTGCCATCTTTTTTTTATAGTATTTTTAATTCGTTTTAACTTCAGTTTTGTGTTTAGCTTCCGTTAAGACTACAATTTCGTTCAGTTTACCGTACTTTTTGCTTGGCTTACAAATATACTATTTAACTTAGGCTTTGTATGTGTATGTATATGTTTCATATATATAGATATATATGTATATTAGTATGGGTGTATGTGTGTGTGTGTGTTAGCTTGCGCGCATGCTTTGTGCGGCAGTTTTTTTTTTTGTTTTTTGCTTAGTTTTTCTGCATATAACAGTTACATTTATGCGTTCATATATATATACGTATGTGTGTGTGCGTGTGTATTTTATATAAATTAATATTTATGCATAATTTATGTCTTTAACTTTCGTTTTACTGCTGCTACTGCTGCTGCTCTCCGCTCCGCTGCTATTCGCTTTCTCACTCTAACATGTATTGCCTTGCTTCAAATAAATAATATACTAGCTGACTTGACTTATATGTGAGTCAAACTGTGTCTGTGTGTGTGTATTATTTCTGCTAAATAAGCCAAAATTATATTTCCACATATATCAAAATTATTACATCGGTACATTTCTGTCTTTCATTTGCCAGCTGCAGCAGCCTTGCATTTCCCCTCAAAAAAACTAACCATACCCCCCTCCTGTCATCTCTTTCCCACCTCCGCTAATTGCACAAATGTTTGCCGACTGCAATACAGTCGAAGCTTCTCGCTCTTCCCGTCCTGCTCAAACGCCATGCCACTGCGTGCGCCCTCTGTTGCCTGTTTCTACAACTAAAAACATAAGCTGCTTATGTTAAAGCACTGAGAGTTTGTATTTGCGTGTGTGTGTGTTTGTATGTGATTTCGAACTATGCGTATGTATTCGTATATATGTAGGTATACATATGTATTTGTAGCTATGTATCTATAGAAAATGTTACTACAAATTGATTAATATTATTTTTAAGCAGCTGCTGCAGCTTATATAAATTCTATTAATGCTTTGTTGTTGTTGYTATTGCTGTTGTAGTAAGTAGCTTCAGTAATTTGTTGTTGTTGTGGTTGTTGTAGTTGGTTGTTGTTGCTGTTGTAGTTATTGCTGCATCCTCAAAAGTTAACAGGGATAAATGCCTACAAGAAAACAGTCGAAGAAACATTTGTTTGTTTGCATACAATTCCAAACACAATACAACTACAGAGGCTGAGTATGTACGTGTGTGTATGTGTGTGCGCTCTCACTACTCCATGTATACATTAGTTATTTAGCTACGCATATGCACAGGCAATAAAATAAAATAACAATTTAAAAAGAAAAGAAAATGGCGTTTAAAATAATTCTTCTAGATATTTTGTTGTTTGCGCCAGCTGTGGGTGGGCGTGGCATTTAACTAATAATTTACGCCTAGAGCGTATGTGTGTGTGTGTGTGTTAAATTATAATTATATAAACTAAATTAATTTAGCAATTAAAATTAAACTAATTTTTGTTGTTTTGTTGTGCGGCTGCGGTGGGGGTGGTTGGGGAGAGTAGCTGCTGTGGATGTTGTTGTTGTTGTTGTTCTTGTAGCTGTAGTTGATGCATCTGCTGTTGCTGTTTGTTGTCGTTGTTGTTGTAGTTGTTGCACGGGCAGCGATTACGAAAATTTGTTGTTGTAGTTGTTCTAGCTGTTGTTCTGGTTGTTGTTCTAGTTGTTCTTGTTGTTGTTGTATGATTTAACCTTTTAACGTTCGTTGAGTGGTTGTGCAGCAAGAACCGAAAGCAAGAAAGAAAGAAAGAACAAAAATAAAGCGTATACAAAGAGAAATAGAGAGAGAGAGAGAAAATGTGTTGTGTGGTATTAAAAAAAACTACAGCAAATATACGATATATTTATATATACAGATATATATTTATGCGAAATATAGTTATATGAGAGAGCAAGCAGATTATGGTGGGAGCGAGAAGGATATAGTGTGTCAGATAGAAGACAAAGAGGCGACTAAACGAAAGCACGCTAGGTAGCCAGAGATAGATAGAGATATAGAGAGGGATGATATTTACCTTGATAATTCTGAGGCCAAATGGTGGGTACATTCTGTAAAGGAGAGAGATATATATACATTAGTTTATGCAAATGAAGTAAATGCATAACTGAGGGTAAGGATGACTAGAGCATAACTCTTTCCGTTACACTACTTTATCATCTGGGTTGCTAGCCCTTGATATAAGGTACTGACAGGATATCACTAATTTCGAATTTTAACATTCTTTTATTTATGTAATATTTAGAGCTATACATATATCCATGCTTAATCAAATATTCCTAAAGACTTTTAAAAGTTCTCTCAGAAAGTGGAAGAACAATTTTGAATGTTTACTATGCTATTCATGATACTAGATTCAGCTGCATTTAATATAAATAGGAATTGTTTTACTTAGAATAAATCATATATTTCCAACTACTAGAGTCTGCCCGCTTAATTTCGTTTAACATAAAACCCTTTAATCGAATTTTGATTATTGATTCACTTACCATTGGCACGCTGTAGTACTGATAGAATGGCTGATATTGCATGGCTGAAGGTGGGTAGATGGCTGGCACTCCAGCGGCTGTAAAGTCAGTAACTAGTTTTGGTTAATTTGTCCAGCGTTACATAGATTGTTGTGTGTTGTTGTTGTTGTTGGTTGTTGTAGAGAAGAGAAGAGTATGGAGTACGAAAAAAAAAAAAAAAATCAAAGAAAATATTTCAACCAAAGTACATGGAATATTCAACAAAAGCCACACAATGCTTTGATTTTGGATTTAGAGCTTGCAATTGATTTTTGAAACTCACCTGGCGGATAGACGGCAGCTGCAAACTGATCCATGGGTATATTGCTAATCGGTGCCGGCGGCGTGGTGGTATAGTAAACGGCTCCATTGGTGGCCACAATTGACTGCAGCGGGTTCGGCTAGATGGAATTTCAATTCAATTATTATGCAAACTTTTGGGGGATATATGCATACAGTGGTGGCCAAAATAAAAGGCTGACAGTCGTAAACTTGCACTCACAATTACCATTCATTAAAAAATGTGTAGCATTTGCTATAAGCCAATGTCTGGCACTGGCACTGTTATTTTGACCACCACTGTATGATTGTTGTCAGCTTAGAGACTCACCTGCTTCTTGATGGCCGGCGCGATGTTCAGCTTGCGATCGCGCAGCACCACACACTCGCCCTGGTTGGACAGAGAGAGACAGAGCACGCGTGTGTGTGCGGGAGAGTGAGTGTGTGAGAGAGAGAAAGAAAGCCAGCGAATGGAAGAGAGACAAAGAGACAAAAAGCAAATGTAATAAAATGCATTAGAAAATATTTTACTTAAAATTCTTTAGATTGTGGCAAGAACTTGTTGTGTGTGTGTGTGTCTGTGTGTGTACTATGTGTTTGTGTGTTTGTGTGTCTGTGTGTGTGGTGGCATCGTCAACAGACAAGCCAGAACGAAATTCAAATTTCAAAATCAAATTCAAATCGAACGCAGCAGCAGCAGCAAGAAAAATGTAGAGAAAATTTAAGAATTTTTCTTGTTTTTTTATTGTTTTGTTTTTTCTGTTGGCAGTGGCAAAGAGCCCAAAAAATGTGGCCACAAGATTTGCAGAAAAACACGTGCCAAGCCGTAAAACGAAAAGAATGGATTATTATCAAAATATTATTTAAA